ACCTCAAGATAAGCTGATGCCATTCTCTTTGGCATAGAACATAAACTGATGAAGGGTAAATAATTTTAATGTACTAGTAGAATGGGGAGCCACATCACTTTCTGTTTCATCAGTAAAATATCTGGAATTCCCCTTAGACCCATGCATGTCAGGAGAAATTGATAGAGAACCGTGTAGTAAAGAAAACGAATGCCAGACTGAAAATTTCTCTTTGAACAAGCACAGTGTCTACCTATGAGGCTGACAGGACCCTATGTCTAGCCTTTATACAGTGTCATATGGTTTATGCTTGCTCGTCTGGGTACTATGGCTTGACAAAAAAACTGAAGATAGATGGCAATCGCCCACCCCAGAGACAAAATGGTAGATTCATCCTGGTCTAGAAGTCCAAGGAGCATGTATGGCCAGGATGAATTACAGCAGTTCGATATGAATGAAATGTTGAAAGACAGAATATTTAAAAAATCAACTGATAGCTAAATATGTTTATAAACTGCTCACAAAACAGTGTCCAGAATAATTTGCTGCCAATTTTGTCAAAGGCTGGGAACCAATAGCAGTCATAGTACTAGGGGGAAGTGCACAACTCTGTTTGCCACAGTCAGTGGCCAGGGTCTTCTTACTCATTTTATTGTCCAGCAATAAAGGAATGGAACAGACTGCCCATCACATGTCAAAGTTCATCATCGCATGAACCAGTTCAAGAAAAGAGCCAAAAGGTGTCTGATGAATGTAGCTACAGAAAGGGAGGGGAATGATTTTTTATTTTTTTAGCTAAAACACATGTAATTTTACCTTATTCCTAGTAATGACTCTTGTATTGTAGATAGTCTTAATGACCCTCGTGTAGTAGATAGTCTTTTTAGTATGATAATAAGATGTTATCTCCATTATAGAATAATAATAAGATATTATAACCTTTGTGTTATAATAATAAGGTAAAAGGACCCCAATCAGATCAAATCATATCAAATCAAAGTTTATTCTCTATAAGGATTACAATGCAAGGTTTACAGATTTTGGTTATTGTGTGGTTTACATGTAGTAAAATAATAATTACAGAGGGGGCCACTAGAACACCGAGCATGGCTAGGCATTTCAGGCAAACTTAGATTAATTCTTAACCCTAAATTATAACAAATTGTGGAGTAAGTTGACTAAATACTAAGTGACAAATACTAGTTTGTGAGTTTAGCAATGTGAATGCTTTTGTTTTGGCACAATACATAGTTTCTTTATTGGAGTATCACAGGCAAACTTATGACTTGTTTGGAATCATTATTTTAAGATTAGGATACGTATTTCTGTGCTTATAGTCAAATGGGTGAGTGAGTGAGTGTAAATGTGGACCACCAGCTGGTTTTTATGTAGTTAGTTGATGGGGTGTATCAGGGAGATAAGATGTTGTCTAACAGTAGTTTTGAAGGTGATGAATGTGTCTGCTGTTCTAGAGTTTTCAGGTAGAGTGTTCCAGATTTTAGGGCCTTTGACATACATTGAGTTTTTGGGTTATCCTAGGTACTTTATACATATGCTGCTATGTATGATATTCTATGTAACTGTATTTGTGTATATCTGAATAAACTTACTTACTTACTTACTCAGATAAGCTGTGAACAGTAAATTTTGGGCTAGATATGAAAGAATGGGTCTGCATGGTGAGTGTGCACAGTTTAAAAAAAAAAATCCTGCCCCATGTGGTACATGATGGGAAAAGCAAAACTCTGACCTTATGTCTGGATTAAAATAATGACTTTGAGGTGTATTCTAGGATGGTTTTGATGGATTTACTGGTATCATTTGATAGAATGGTATACAGGCTACTGAAATAGAGATAACTTTGGTTGGTTTCAGGACCAGAAATATCCTGAAATTGTGCTCAAGAGTTGACAAAAATTTGATTTTTCCTGATTTTCCAGAGGATGGGTAAAGCCCCCTACATCCCTGGTCTGTTTTACAGGTTTTTAAATAATTAGTCTAATTCACTTACTGGGATGCTATGAACCATGACCAATCATTTCTGGTTATATTTTATTATCTGGGAAACAGAGTAAGTCTTCTATTTTTGTGTGATTACGAATTCAAAATGAAAGGAAATTGTAATACGCAGGAGAGACCTGGGGACATGATAAATGAATGTAGGAAATGTTCTAGTGGCATTAATGTCTACAGTGTTTGTTTTGCACTCTATTTTTAAGTTAGTATTTTTTAAATTTGTGTCAAATTGGCCAAATTGCTGACTTGTGCACTTTATAGGGTAGTTATAATAGTTGAATGGGCAGTTTCTTGTGTTTGATTGATAGAACAGAAGTCATAGCTATGAATTTCATCAAATGGAACACTGGAATTGACTTTAAATAGGACTCAAATTTGGCAAAATCACTGATTCATAAATTGTGTCCAGACTCCTAACTTGGTGCCTGCGTAATTGTTAAGTTTTTTCCATCAAAATTTGTTCCCTTTGGGTTTTTTTCCTACCTTCAAAAAAAAAATTTTCTTTACTATTTCAGAAGAATTTTTTTT